CTAGGGGCCAAATGAGAGTTCAGATTTTACAGAAATAAGTGGTGCTCAGTGCACTGCTATCAGAGGGACTTCCTCAGACCGAAAGTAACTACGTCAGATGGCCACTTAGTTCAGAAATCTTGGCTGGCTTCCCTTCCAAGGCCCTGATGGAGCAATAATGCAAAAATAATAAAAGTCTGGTACAAAGCTCAGTGCAAAGGCTCTAGTCCTTGGATTGGGCTGATGTACATCACACAGCCATAATAATGCCCTTTCCTGTATGAGCTGGTCATGTTAGCGGTTGAGCTGTCACAGAGACCTGGGACGTGGGCAGGTGGACAGGAAGGAGTTCTGCTATGCGCTGCTGCAGAGAAGAACATGGTACCTGAAATAGGGAAATGTGAGAGTACCTAATCCTGACTGCTGAAACCGGTGCATGTTTTGTCATTGGTCTTAATGGAGGCAGGATTTTAGCTCAGCAAAGTGTATCATTGCTCTTAACCTGTTCTGTAAGCCTTTCTCATGTTATATGCTTATGGCAAGGTATTACCTGGGATGCCTTGTTATTTCCCTTTGACTTACTTTATATTCTGCTGTGCACTCCCACCTCTTTTGAGAACAAAATGCTGTGCGAATGCCTTACGGGCTCTTTCTCTTTCACTGACCTTTTTTTATGACTTTAAAGAAGTTTCCCTAGGCCCAAGTCTGCTTTCTGTCTTGAATATTGACCTTAGAGTTACACCATCTCATTGTCGCTGCACGCAGGCTTCTCAGCTATCAAAGTTCACCCACAGGACTCAAAGTATTCCTAACTCAGAAACATCTTGCCTTTTATGTCCTCCTCCTCTTCCCCCTCCTCCCTCCACATGAGCATTTTAATTTCACAAGCAAACTCCGTTTCTCTGTGAATTTTGACGAGTGGTTTACCTGTTTCATGGTAAAAATTGTACTTCAAATTTAAACGTCTTTTTCACTGTGACTGTCATAATATTTTCCATTTGAGGCTGAGACTCCACTGTGGGTTTTCTGTGCCACATTGTCATTTGTACGAATCTGAGCTTAAATGCGTGGAAATTCTGACATTTCAGAAATATAAAGTGGTTTTTTTAATGTTCTTCAAGTTAGCTGTTTCATAGGTATGGTTGCTGGGTTTTGCCCAGTGCCCTGGTCTTTCCCAGTTCAACAACAGATCGAAGATTTCTCAAGATTTTGGGCTTGTTTGCATTCACTGTCTTGTGTCATTTCTGTGAGAATGAGTGATGGTAATTTTTTTATCTGATTGCTTACCCTGAAAAGGTGATAAAGGAATAATTGCCCCGAACCAGGGATTTCCAAACTGACTTTGCTTAGGTGATGCTACCATTGGCAGCGGTGGTGCCAAATGTGGTGTCTGTGTACCATGGTCTTCAGTGAGGATCTTGGAGAAGGCAGCTTCATACCAAGCAAGCTGAGCCAAACTTTGAGTGGCTTCACAGTGGAAATGGCTCCATGGTGGAAAGAGCTGCCTTTAGTGGGACCTTGGAGAGGGTTTTGGTAGGCTATAGCACTGTTGAACTTTTTGTCTTAAAGTCAATGGCCTATAGACCAAGACTGCTCGTGCCCAGTAGTGCAAGCCACATGTTTTGGGGGCAAGTTTTGACTATGAGCATTTACCTGCTCTACAGTATTTGACAAAGGCTGAAATCTCTCTTGGCAGTCATGTGGTTTCATACAGGTTTGTTATGTGGAACAAAGTATGCTGTTGAGGAGATCACTGGAATTGAATTCTTTAATATGCTTTTACAGCTTTCTGTTGGGTAATATGAGATATGGAAAAATGTCCACCCACTGGCAACGTTCATGTCCACAAGTGTATATATATTTTGTCATTAGTTACCTTGAGAATACGAGGGGAAATTTGCAGCTATTTCAATAACTTGACAGTTGTCACCACGACAAGGTTTCTAAAATCCAGACCGTAATTGCTACCTCGGCTAGCTGCACCTCTTATCAAACGGGTTGTGAGAATTGCTGGTGACACAAACTGCTGCTATCAGAACTGATTCCGTTGTGGTCTGACCTGATCAATTGCGCTGCAACCCAAGTCACAGCCACTTTGTGTAATTTTAGAGTGTAAATCAGATTTTACACGTGTGGGGCTATGATGCGATTGCATCTGTAGAGCAGGGGGGACAGGATTTGGAAATGAACCCAAGGGAGTTGTATTCGATCCTACTCGATGGGAGCTCACAAACTTCGTTCTTCGCGGTTGTGTCTGAGCAGCTTGCAGTTGTGTATTAGGCAACATGACTAACATTTGTCACATGTTGTTTATCCTCTTATCTTCTCCCCAGAGGAAGGAGAGGGTGTGCTGGAGTATTTCTTTCCTTGGGGAGTTACGTTCCTCAAATCCCATATTGCATGTAGAAATCGTGCCTTTATCATTAGCTTTTATCATCTCTGTGAACCTTGAAATTTGATGGAATTTGGATAGCTGACCATCATTGGAAAAGCTGTCTTGTTGTGTGTGAATAGTTTGTGAAATTGTTGCAATGCAGGGAGCAACCATTTGAAGAGGTGTAATACCAACTTTTTTTTTGATTGTTGAATCAATTTTTTGTACTGTGAGCTTGTAGGGGAATATGTTTCTCTGTGCTAAACGATAATATATTTAATGAATTGTAGCTACCTCTGGAATAGCTGAAAGCAATCATCCCTTTCCCTTGCATCTTACAGTTTATCTAAGTTGCTTGATAATCTGGTATAGCCAAACCAGGTGGACTAATTCAGCCCTGCTTCAGCTCGGTTAACTTAATCCCTTCAATTGCATTGGATTTTTCTGATTAGACACCAAGTTAGCTTCTAATAAAGGCGTCAGACTGACAGGCATTGATGCCATCTAGATGCATGATGAAGCATTGTAATGGTGATGATAAAAGTCTTTCCATCCTAGGGAGCTGCCAGTATGTTTTCCTAAAGGTGCTTCGAGAATGAGATGGCTGGTTTATGTTTAAGAGCTGAGGCTTGATCGAGATCATTCACATCAAGGGCAATTACTCTGGGAATGATAATGAACCTCACACTCAGCCTCCACTGAGATTCCCAGTACCAATGCCAGTACGGCACAGTGTAAGCTAGTGAGCAAAATAAAATAAAGACCACAACTGTTTGGTCTGAGACACGATACTTTCCTGAGGATAAGCCTTATCTCCAAATAAAGAGGAATAAATCCACAGTTTGGATGCTTATTAAAAGCAGCTTTTTTGAAAAACTTGGTTGTGTCACTGAACTGCACGTACAAACAAACTTTTTGAGAAAAAACGAAACTTTCTGCAAGCATGTTCATTTCGCCAAATCTTTTTTTTTTTTTTTTTTTTGAGACAAAAACATTTGAAACTTTTTGACCAGCTCCAATACCGGAGGGTCAGGCTTTTTCATCTTCCATCATATACGTGATGTGGGGCACGCACTGTGGTATTTGCTAGTCCTGCAGAGGCCCCAGGGAATTTCCCTGACTCTGGGTTTTTCGTGCTTAGGGCTTCAGCCCCAGTGCAAAGAGCCCTCTGTCTGGCTTCTTGTTGGCTATGGGTGTCCTCCCTGCAGCGTCCCCTGCATTTTCCCATCCCAGTGGAGACGGTGCGTTTTGGCTGCAATTAGTACACCTTGGATTTCATTAAGTAAATGACCGTGAAAAACTTTCAATGTTGGGACAAACCCAATAGAAACATGTATAATATCCAACAGAGGATGTTCTCAATTTCTTTGGCCAGAAACTAAAATTCTTACCTAAGATTTTCAAAACTCTGGGAGAAGTTTGACCTTCCCCATCCCTCAGCCAGCTCTGAAAATCACAGCTGGTGGTGTTCTACTAGACTTGCAGTACTGACTTAATAGCTCTTTAGTTATTAGAGAATAAATGTTCATGTTCTACAAGTTTAAATTATATTAAAAACCTTTATTAGCACGGCTTGGCAAAGTACACTTCTGGCTAGCTTTCTGGCCTTGGGTTAGGCCATTCTTGTGGTTTCTTAATGACATGCTATGAAAAGGATATACTTTATGAGAATCTGGTGCCAGGTTTTGCATGTATTAAGAGGCATTTGCCATTTGTTCATAATGCTGCTGAGTGAAACAAAAAAAGTTACAAAATTGGAGTTATGTCTTGCATTCATCTGGCTTGATTTTCATTGTACATGGCCTTTTTTATTTTTTATATATATTTATATTATATATATTTTAATATTGTCTGGTCTCTGAATTACTGGTGGCAGCTCAGTTCTGGCATGTAACAGTGCTGTTACTACAGTTACTTTCTGTTGTCTTTTTTTCCCCAACCTTCCCTTAGTAATTTTGGCAAAGTTGTCTCAGGGAAAGAACTCCTCTGGGCCACGTAGTGGGTTTCCCCACAGTTGGGAGCAGAATTAGGCCACTGGGGCAGCCCGTTTTTGTGAAGGCAACTGTTCATACCATGGGCAATTCTGGCATGTAACAGTGCTGTTACTACAGTTACTTTCTGTTGTCTTTTTTTCCCCAACCTTCCCTTAGTAATTTTGGCAAAGTTGTCTCAGGGAAAGAACTCCTCTGGGCCACGTAGTGGGTTTCCCCACAGTTGGGAGCAGAATTAGGCCACTGGGGCAGCCCGTTTTTGTGAAGGCAACTGTTCATACCATGGGCAAAATGTCTCAGAAGTTTCTTTCCCATGAGACGTGGTGACACACAGGCAGTGCTGGAGTGTGATTCAGCTGTTTGGTTTGTTTTCCCCTCTTGTCATCTGTTTATTTGCTTTGCGACCAACAAGTCCGCCTCTTTTTCCTTCTGCTGATACTGCACGTTAGTGTGAAAAGTGGATGGGGCAAAGTACCCAGCAGGTGGGAGGAGGTGTGTGCGGTGGGAAAATGGGGCTAGGAAAAAGGTCTGGGACTTGAGTAACCTTTCTTAGGTGTCTTTCCATTGCAAGAGTTGTTTGTTGCACAGGTGTGATTTTTTGATAGCAAAAAGTGGGTTGCAGTGGATTTGACCTGATGCTCACGTTCTTTCCACAGTGGGGAAGCCTCACAAGTGCAACTACTGCGGCCGGAGCTACAAGCAGCGCAGTTCGCTGGAGGAGCACAAGGAACGCTGCCACAACTATCTGCAGAATGTCAGTATGGAGGCTGCCGGGCAGGTCATGAGTCACCATGGTGGGTGGAAACCGCCTTTTGAGGTCTCTTGGACTTGGAGCATCTCTTGCGGGTTTTTTTCCATCTGTTTTTCTTCCTTCCTTTCAGCTTTACATCACTTCCATCTTATAGATTGCGTATACTCAGATAGGCAGGAAGAGAAAAGGTGGGCTAAAATCATCACTCTTGTCCCATTTAACAGCACTGGTTTCGCTGATTTTTTTTTTTTTTAAGTCAGTATTTCACTTTTTAGAATGTATGAATATGCAGGCATGAAAATAAAGCAGTCACCTGTGCAAAGTTACCCTAAAAATGAACTAAGCCATGTATAAAATGTATGATTCCCGTCCCCTTCCTTTCTGATAGCAACTGATAATTATAAGAGATAAGGATGGTGGAGGTATTCAGAAGTCATTATTTCTACTCCCTGTAATATTACCTTATGTCCCAAAACAAGGGGGGTAGATATCAAAATCTTCAGAGCAGAATGGAATTCAACAGTGTTGATGAAAGTAACTGTAACCAAAAAAATGTTTATATGCATTTACATGTGTTACTATTAATGTTAACTAACACTGCATGTGTTAATATACATGAAGACTGAAGACTGCCAAAAAGATTGTTGGAAGCAAGAAATGTCAAACTCCATGAATTTGTTTTCAAAAATTTCTGTAGCTATTAGTATGGATAATGAGCGTAATATCTCAGACTGCAGGGTTGTAGACTTATCTGTAGCACTAAATACTAAATGGTAGCTGTCCAAAAATTGTTATAATTTCATTTAAAATCAGTGTTTCGGAAACTCTTCTAAAACTGAATATCTTTTAACTTTTAAAAGTTGTCTTTAGATGTTTGGTACTTGAAATATTTCAAATGTCTTATTTATTTACTTTATTACAGAAAATACAAAAATTACACGTTTTCCATTCTGATTAAAAATTACCATATACCTAAGAATACCACCCCCCATTTCTTTTCATTGTTGAGTGGAGTCATATGGCTTCATCTGGAAATTAATTACATAAAAGTTCTGAAAGATCATTTCTCAAAACCTAAAAATACAAGCTGAAATAAAATCTATTCAGCATTTCTAATATGGGCTATTTTTTGGTGAAAAAAAGCACCAAAAAATTTTAGAGTACTTTTCCATGAATGATTTAATCCTATAAAGGCATTCTAAATGTATTTAATACGTGTTGCCAAAACGTTCATACAGGTCTATTAAGTAATTACTGTCTTTGTAGACACCCTGGAGACTAAAATCAACATTTAAAATGTAACAGATTACTTTAAAGACATTGAAGTTAATGATTATCTGCTTTAGGCCTGACTTTACGCTTGTAAAAGTCGGTGGAAAGACTGATTTCAGGGCTTTGCTATTTGCAGGTACCCATTGTGTGCTTGGTCTGCTAGATGGAGTGCTTAGTTGATAGTAGGAGTTTAACCACCGACTGCATTCCCAACAAAATACACACTTTTCACTCTACAAGGGTGTGCCTGTCTTATTAACCAGCGAGGTGATGATTTCAGTCAGCCTTTCCTTAGGGGAATAACAGTAGGCTGATATAGTTATGACAGCCAGGATGTTTCAGAGATCACGTTGTGGAGGATCTTCCCAAATTCGATTCAGCTTCGGGCTTTATTATTCAGTTATTTATTAAAATTGGGTTTACTCTTGCTCATAGCGTACTTCTGAGGAAATCTAAAGCTTTTTCTAAGCTGCTTAATACTATGACAAGAAGGGTAAGTCCTTAACCTTGTCCACCCAAGGAAGCTGGAATGGTTGACCTTGCATTGATTTTTCTACCAACTGAAGTTAAACCAGTGCAAACCCCATGTGGACAGTTCTATTATTTACAGTCTGACTGACTTTGCTTGGGCTTAAAATAGAAATGTTCACACAACCACTTTACTTTTCTCAACAAAATTAGCTTAAAACAGCACTTTGAATTCAACTAGTGCCTCTTTCTCCTCTGGGCAAATATGCTTAAATCTCCCCTGGTGAACGTTTAAGGGATGTTTGATCCACTGTCTTCATTGCGCTGTTTAGCGAGGGCATAACGAGGACAGGCAGCAACAGGGAGCTCCAAATTCAGCTGGGACCAGTAATAAATCTCACCTTGCATCCCAGCATCACTCCCACCCATGAAGCTCAGCATGGGAGTGAGGGTCATGAGCACCAACCTGTAGCGGTCTGCAGCAAAGTCCTTTCTCCTGGGACTATAAGGGCACCAGAGAAGAGTATACAAATGATTACTCAGCTTAAAGTTAAGTCTTAGTCTAACCCTGAAAAATGTGTTAATTTCCTTCTTTCCCATGTCACACATGGCAAGGGTATTCCTGAGGATGAGTGAGTGCATGCTTTGGAGATTTTGAACATTGGTTTATTTTGCATCACATTCCGGTTAAGTTTTCCTGACTTTCTTTCCAAATACTTTTAAAGTATTTTGTTCTTGCTGAGTGTTTTGAAGCCTCTGAATGCATTTTGGTGTGACTCCTGGTTCACAGCTTCACTGTTACGTACAGAATAGATAGAGGTGGAGATTTTCTTATCCCTACCAGCATCCTGCTTTAAGGATGCAGGTGGCTGTGCTGGGTCTCAACCAATATGGCCAACGTTTAACATGGATCTAAATTATTTCTGCAGATATTAATTGTTCCAGAAAACTGGAGGCAGCCCCTAGAGAGTTCAGATTTTTTTCAAGCATTGTGCTCAAGTTGATCAGTTTATAGGCATGCTACAGACATCTACTTGCGTGCTTTTGCCGTGGCCTGATGAGGCCTTTAATTTCAATTATCTTTGTCTTGCAGATGGCTAGATCACCTGACTAAAGCCACAAGGGGAAGCAAGAGGAGGGGAAAGAGGGCTAGTTTTGGTGTGTGGGTAGGAATGTACAAGTCTCCAGGTCTCTCTCCATCCTCTCGCAGGGTGCTGATTGCTTGCTGAGCTGCCCCTCATTGTGGCTAGGTCCTGTTCCCTGCTCAGCATGATGGCTGCTGCAAGACAGCTCCCATGACTTTGTTGCTGGCAATTCTCAGCTAAGCAGTGCTGGCCCTGGAGGTAGAAATTAGTCTGTGGTCTCCTAGCTAGCGGCGTGTTGGGGGTGACAAAAGTGACAGTCTCTGAATGCCAAGAACATGATCTTTGCAGGAACGAACAGGGAGAAATGTTGAAAGCTAGCTATGGTTTACACCCGGTTATATATTCTTCTCCATCTCCACAAAGCAAAAAGACCAGGGAAATTCTTAAAGTAGAGTGGAGAAGGGTACTCTTCTTAAGAGAAGGAGAAAGAAGCCTAGCCCTTGGTTGTGTGAGGCTTAAAGACCAGCTCCACATAAAACACACAATGGCCTTGTGTCCTTCCCTCTTACATAGTTGCTTAAAACATTGTTAAAATGCTGGTCCCACGGGAGACTTCACACCAGGGTCCATGGGAATATTTCCTGTCATTTCTCTGCACACATACACTGTTTTTAAATAGCAATATTGTGAGCTTAGGAAAGGAAATTGAGGTTGATGGAGTAATACTAATTTATACCAGCTGAGACTTAGCCCAGTGTCTGTTGTCTGCACACAAAAGTATTTATCAGCAAAACGCACAATGAGTAATTTTTTTACTTCTTTTTTCCCCTATTCTTTCCTCACTGGAACAGCATAAACTTTTTTATTAGTATGTGTGGTTTCTTACAAATTAAGAAGCAAAAACTAAAAGATAGCCGCTTTGAGAACTGTGATTGAAAGACCAATGTCTTCAGGAAAATAAAGACTTTGTTCTGAAGACCATCCAGGTTTGTGTATTGAGAGTTTGGGCTTAGAAGCAACATTTGGTGTTAACTGCAACTGAGAACATTAACAGTGTCAGAGATGGTAAACATTTGCATGGGCAGTCCAGGAGCGCACCCTAATAGCTGATTAAGAACATCCCTGAACAGAAACAAACTGAAGCGCGGGCTTTTCATGGACTAGACGCTTGATTTTTCGAATAAAACAACCTTCCTGAGCTGAGACCATAAGTTCACAGCATAAAATGAGTTGCTGTATCAAAGCTAGTTATAATGTGTTAGCTGTTCTTTAGTAGCTCCCACGGTAGGTAATGAAGTACAATGAAATACAACAAAAAAGGAATTGCATTTACTGCAGAGTAAATGTGTACACATGGGTTTCTACCACCGAGCAGCTGATTTGTGATAACTGTTGGTTGCGTGTGATCGGTTTGCTTTTCCCCTTTTTTATTTTGTTTTTCCTCAAAAAAATGATGTAGGCTGGGCTATTTGTCCTTTATTTGTATATTTTGAAATTGAAATGAAAATTAATGTATCTAGAATTGACAATGTGATCTTTAGCTTAACTCTTTGGGTTTCTAAAATGTGACATCTCACCTGTTTGGTCCAGTTTTGCATGCAATTTAAATGGTTTCAGAAACTAGGCTATTTCCATCTCTCCCTTCTCCCAGGAAATCTACATAACAAAACACATTCCGGTAACTTATTCCCTTCGTAACAGAAATATTGGTGTGATTCTGTTGCAAAAGAGCCATGCCCTGGATTATAGAGTAGAGTTGAGTTCTAAGGTGGGAAAAAGCTTGCAGCATGAAAGATAGAAAAGAAAACACTTTTATTGGTGATGATTTTACTTTTAAAAGGAGTCCAAGCAGAATTTTTGCCTGACTTAGAGAACAGCAGATGTCTTTTTTAGCACTATTCATTTTTCATGGAAGAAAGGTTTCAAATTCCATCTAGGAAATTTTACACACATATGCCCAACAGTAGAATTATTTAATTATTACTTAATTGTTATAAGACATACAAATGTCACTACATTTGGAGCTTAATCAGATGGCTATGAAAGTAATCAGGAGGTTTTCAAGTGATTTTGTGGGCAAGTACAGTCCTACAAAGCCAGATACCTTTAGGAAGTCTTCCTAGGAGGCCTTTAGGGCCCTCTGCATCTCCCTAGGTCCCCACCACCAGCCTCGTGTGTCCTGTATGCCAATGGCTGGAAACTTTTGAAGTGGCACTCATGCAAACCTGGCCCATCGCAGTGAGGATGGGTATTGCCACTGAGCAGGGATCCAGGGTTTCACACAGACCATATGTGCATGTGCATGCATCCACTGATTTTTGGTAAGCCAAAAGGACAGTCAGACGCCAGTTCCCAGTGAAAATCAACAGATATAATCTTTCCTTCCTTCCAAAAATCTCATTGGTAAATACTTGAGTAGAACTAGTGCAGATAGCTCCTGACCAAGCACGGTATTTAAATAACCTTAAAAATTTAGCCTTAGCTATTAAAGTGTTCCAGACCTCCCAGTCTGCACTGGGCATTAATTAGGTCACTTGAACACTGCATCCCATTTTGTTGCAACATTAGATTAATTTCATATTTATGCTTTTTCTTCCTCTCTTTCACTGATGCCAGCAGGACTGCCTTGTAAATGAGAAACCATTGTGTTTCTCAGGGGGAGCATCCTGTACAAATAAAAAAGCAGCAGAGTAAATCATTTTATAGCATATGGTAGATTCTAAGCCTCAAAGTACTCGGCTTTCCATAGCAGCAAAGGCACAAATGGAATCAAATGAATAAATTGCCATGTTTTCTTATTATGAATGTCTGAATTGCGAAGTTCATCTGAACGGATACTCTGTTTTGTAATTGCCTGGTATTTGCTCTTCCTTACTAGAAAGAAGGCAAAGACAAGGCTTTTATCACCCCATTTTTCATGTATTATGTGCTAGCAAACAGCTGCGTGTTTAAGAACAGGGGAGTGATTATTCCATATTAGGATCCTGAAGGTAGTAAAGTTACATGGGAGGAAAGTAGGCTGGTGGTGTTCATTTATGGCACAGTCTCAGAGAGAAGGTATCTGTGACACGAAAGGCTGCTACAGTGAGAGACCAGAGGAGGACTAGCAGAAGATGTGGGTTTCAGTCCTTCTCTACGACCTCTGCAATACCACCTGTGACTTCTCTGGAAGATTTATCTAATACAGAGAGTGCAATGGGTTGATCACAATTTACAAATTGTAGGAACTCTCTGCAAGATCATCCCAGTTTCTATTTCTCTGCCATCCATTCTTCTCCTCAAATAATTTTTTTACACCTCAACCATCCCATTAGTGCACGGACTAGTGGCTGATCCTTCTCAGCTTTCTCTTGCTACCTTATGAAGAAGAATGTGGGACAATTAGGCCATGTATTAAATTCATGGCAGCAGAGTAGTGGGAATTGCTACATGTGGAATCACACTTTTGACATATATTGCAAATTACTTGGACTCTGAGCCTGATCCGCAGCATGGTACCACTGACCGTTCTTGGTGTTTATAATAGGATGCTCAACAAAAACAGAGTACTCTGTAGGTATTTAGTGATTAGCTATGTCAGCAAGTGACATAAAACCCTATGCAAGTCAGTCACTACCCTGGTTGGTAGCCCATGCAATTCCTATACTGCTTTTGCTCTAGCACCTTAATTCCCTAACCCAACAAGCGACAAAGAGTGAGATGAGTAAAGACAGAAGGGGTCATTAATTTCTTGTTATTGTCTCAAAGACAGTGTGTGAGCATTCCCCTAACGTACTTAGCACAGGGATACTCCCTCCTGATCCCAAAAAGTGGGAAGACAAACACAGAAGACTTGCATTCACCAATTGTTAGGTCTGTGTTTGAAGGGATAAAATATTAATTAAAAAATTGATAGTTTCTGCGACTGATTCTGAAGGGAATTTCCATACGATGTTAATCCTGTAATTCCAGTACAGTGTTTGTTGATTTTACAATCTCGTGTATAGAAAGAGGAAACACACTTTAACAAACATATCCTTCATTCCGGAAGCCTTTGTCTTGGGGAATGCACAACCAGGCCCAGGAAACACAAGTCATCAATGCCTTGTATGTTTTTTAGTCAGTGAGATTAGCATGAAAAGAAAATAAGAACGGTAAGCATGCCATATGATAAGCATGAAGTTAAGGGAATACACAAAGAATGTTAACTAAAAAGTTACATTGGCAACAGGTGACAATCTTGAAGGGAGAATAACAGAAAATGTCATCTACAGAGTGAGTTTTCAAAAGTGTCCCCTCCTCACTGGGGATCTTGAGTATTCAGAATAAAACAAGTCCTTTAATAAATGCTTAAAGTTGGGCTTCTGCTAAATAAGATGATCCCAAACAGAGGCATGTTGTAAATGTGGCTCTGCTTAAAGGTGAATGCTATCTTGATGTCCAGTGTGTTCTTGCACCTTGCAGCTTTTGTGTTGCACTTGTTGCACAATCAGCAGGGCTCAAATGATCTGTGTTGTCTGTGAAGTGTAGACCAGACTTTTCTGATACAATTTTTTGGTTTTATGTAGTACCTCCTATGGAAGATTGTAAGGAACAAGAGCCTGTGATGGACAACAATATTTCTCTGGTGCCTTTTGAGAGACCTGCTGTTATAGAGAAGCTGACAAGCAACATGGGAAAGCGTAAAAGCTCCACCCCACAGAAGTTTGTGGGTAAGCTTGAAATACGCCTTTTATTATTTTTAGTGCATAGGAATAGGTTACTTGTTATTTGTAATAGCCAAAAGAACGAGGGGAAAAGTAGCGCTCTCAGAACTTGGTTGTGATGGGGACGGACAACAATGGAGGTGGTTAAATCACAGCAGGAAATCCTGAAAATGATTGAATTAATTTTACCAACCCAAAGAATTCAAAAGTGAGGTCCCCAGAATCATGAAAATGGCTTAGAAAATCTTGAGCTTTTTACTGTGCCTTAAGGCTGTTTTGGTTTTTTTAACTTTTGTCTGTCCCTTTTGAGATTTAGACTTGTCATCCTTTCCTCTCCTTGCCCCAGCAAATAAAAACTAAGACTCTCTTATAATTATCTGTCTCCATATGTGTGTGTGTGAAAAAAAAAAACAACAAACCCAAAACAACACGTATCTCAAGACTTGTAACTTGTATTAAATTCTTGAGAGTTGGCAACAACTGGTCTGATAATACCGGCATGAGGAAGTAAAATCACATCACTTCTGTTGGAAGAATATACAGGCTGGGGGATGAAGGGATTGAGAGCAGCCCTGCCGAGAAGGACTTGGGGGTACTGGTGGATGAAAAGCTGGACATGAGCCAGCAATGTGTGCTCGCAGCCCAGAAGGCCAATCGTATCCTGGGCTGCATCCAAAGAAGCGTGGCCAGCAGGTCGAGGGAGGTGATTCTGCCCCTCTACTCTGCTCTGGTGAGACCCCAC